AATTACCAAGAAAATATGGCATAACACTTCTGCCTGTAATTAAATATGAAACAGTATTTGCATCATGTTTAGTAATTATTAAGTAAATGATCATAGACTATATATTCCATTACTACAAAATGCATCACATACAACAAAATAGAGAGTGAGTTTCAGTGATGGGAGCAGTACTGCAAGAGTCTCTTGTTTACACTTGGAGCCATGGGAGGTACCCAGTATGATACCAAACACAACTAACAGTAAACTAACAGTAAAATAACAGTAGGTGCTGCATATAGAAGTAATCCAAATATATTGAACCTTCCATGACCTGATATTACATCATTACATCAGCAGAGCATGTACTCTTTATGGGCAGGTTTCAACATGCCATGATTGTTTTGTGAAAATAAGACAAGTAGCACCTTCTAGCATACAGTATATAGACTATTCACCAAGGGAAAAGTCATGAAATTGCTTTTCTCAAATGTGAGTGAGGTTTCTGAAGCATTGTTTATTCTTGACCTAAGAAATGGCAGTTCAATCCCAACTCAAGATCCACTTACTAGCTTTATGTTGAGCTTTTAACCATATCACACAGTCTTCATCTACAGATGGAGTTTGGTCCAAGATGCTTAACTTTTAAACCAACATGGATGACAAGACTCTGCATAAAATCATAACAGCTACTGAGCATACATGTCAATAGATCCATCTCTATGACAACTGAGCAAACCATCCACTGACGAGGACTGTATGATACGGTTGAAAGTTCTGGAAAAAGCTACTAAGTGGACCTTGATTTGGGGTTATTGGGTCTAATTTTTCTTTACAAAAAAGACATATCAACACAAAAATTGTAATTTATGAAGAATGATCACAGATATAAACCAAATCACCCAAAAAGGCCCAAATCATAGGCCACAGCAACTAGACTGAATGAACACTGATGAAGCCTGTCACTGACATTGTCCAATATCAGCATTACCTAACTGACATTATCTAACATCAGCAATCTGCTGCTTAATTCATCTAGAGCCCATCATAATTAGCTCTAAATCATCTGGACTAGGCAACTAGCAGCTTCCTCCAGCCAGATGGGAGATGTCAGATGTCCATCATGTACCAGGTGGACAAACAGCCTCAGCTGGCTCTTCTCAAAGTGGAGGAGCAGTTGCTCAACACAGAGTTCCACTTGGTTCACTAAGCTCCTCACCCTGTCATGGATTGTTAACATTTAATATGCGTGTATTTTCTGTTTCCTTTGATGTGACCCTCAGCCATCCATCTCTATTGATCTGTTCATTATGTTTTAATATATTTTGTGGTTACAAGTTCAGTGGCTTTTAGATGATCAACTCAGAAAACTCAGTAATGGCAGTTTTTCTAAAGATCTTCTTTTAGATTACTTACTCCTGTAAATTCTTTCATTCTTTCTGTTTGTTTTGAGTCAGTTTTGTTTTCAAATGAGTACACCTCACAGTCAAAAGCTTTTCTAAGAAACAGATACAGTGTAATATGTCACACTTTTTTAAATGTATCAGCAGCAGTTTCAAAATGAAGTGGACGTCTTTACCACTCACTGATCGATTGTTCCCAGTAGAGTACATTACAGAAAAAGCTTCTCAACAATGATTTGTACATTTTAATGAAGCAAGTTCCTGCAACACATGCTCAGGAGGTCATTTCGCAAGAGAGGTTGCAGTTGATTTTCAAGGGTATGAGCTCATCTCCTTGACAAAGATCTTGTTCTCAACTAAGGGTAAAAGAGATCATACATATTGCTAGTGGAGTGCAGCAGCTGAGGAAATACGAGTGTATCTCACCATGATAGTAAAGTGAAAACTGAACCACAAAGCTTTGTGGTTCAGCTTCATCTGTAATCATAAGCCAAAAGAAAGAGACTCTAAATGAGATTCCTCTGTATGTGTGAGCATATTATTGTAGCAATATCATTTGCAAACATGTGTGGAGAGTTTTGAAACTGTTTCTCAATTCTTATGTGTGGTTAATTTTTACATGCGTAAAATAATCTGAAAATATGTACTCAAAACCTGTAATTGGGCTTTATTAATGACATAAATCAGAGTATTCAGCTGCAAGAGCTGGAAATAAAGACAGGTTTTCAGTATTAACTCAAGTACTCCACTCAATTGGCCATTTGTTTTTTTTGTTTTTTTTTTACATGTGACCTTTGCTGCACTCCTACCACATGTAAAGTTGCTGGCCTCTTTCCATGTGACATGAAACATGCTCCTGAAAACATGCATGCAATGCTCTTTGTGTCGAGATTCAAAGAAGGCATTTCTGGGCGATATAGATTTGGGAACCTGACATCCTTGCGGTTGACTTGACATTTATTTTACACAATTACAATAAAACCTAAAACAAGACAACAAACACACTCCTGAGCTCCACTTGTACCAGCTCAGCCCAGTATGTGCACAAGGTGTACAGATCTCACTTTAATCTGCAGGTGCAGGGCCAGTGGGAATGGATGCTGTCCATGGTGCTGAACTGTAATCCTATTGAGTTCATACAGCAAACACAGGCCACAGAGTGGTGTATGTGTGATCCTGCATGTGAAGCAGTCTGGTTGAACATGAAGTCAGTGGTTGAGTGAGGTAGGATATCAGGTAGCACTAGAGATGGGTCAACAGCCGTAACTTCTAGGACCCCTATTGCTACCTGTTAAAGATGCAATCTATAGCTGGATATATTATCTGGATAAAGACATCTGATCTTTGCATTTACACTTAATAAGTGCTCTCATTATTTAAATTCAGCTCACACTGTGATCTGATCTCAATATGCAAATTAGGTAGGCCCTACCTGATGTGGTCCGGCCAATCTGATTGTGTTCTGATTGCAATGTGTTTCGTGTGTATTTAAACCTTTGATTCATATTTGTTTTTCCTTATCAAAACTAGATATCTAGATTGCATGTTAATAGTAGGTATAAATGGGGTCGACTTATCCACAAACACACAATGCATGAAATTAAGTTTGAACTACCTGTTCCCTTGTCTCAGCTGAACAGTTCCAGAAAAGAAAATGAGGTTGGGCGGCTGATTCTCAATAGCAAATTCAGCTGTTTTTTTTTTTTAAAGTATAACACGCCTTGAATAGCTAATCTGTCAGATACATCTTGAACATCTTGTGTATTTGCCTAAAGTGCATCAGAACACACTGTGCACTGAGAGTATTCATTGTGCCATGTTGTTTTTATAATGAAAACTAAATAAGACATATCGTTGGATGCCTGTTGGAGTGTGCATGCACTGGCTTTTTATCTTGTGGATCTTGTCAAGTCTGTGCATGCATAGTTTGAATCCCTCGAACTCAGGTATACACTTTGAATCCTGTGCAGGAAAGGTGGACTCCACCAGCAACAATGACAACTATTATACAGAAAGGCAATTACAGAATACACTAATACAATACAAGTAACAAAACCACAATATTTTCCTGCATTTATTATCAATCATGAGTTGCTTGTTTAACTTGGGTTTTACAAAATATTATGTCTTGGCTTGTGGAACAAAAAACATTCATCTATCCAGCTGGTTGTGTTCCCTCTAGCTGGAGAGTATTTCACCTTTTTTCTGTTTTAGCAGGACTGGCTCTATATTTTTCCCGTATGTATTGCTCTAAATTGGCAAGGAAACAGTAAAAAAATTGGGACTTCAATTTTCTTTTAAGCATTTAAATGCTTTTGAAAGCAATGTTACCACAGCACATTCTGCCATGTCTAATATTTCACTATTTTAAATCAAGTACCTTGTAAAGCAGGCGAATAGACTTTAATTTGGTGAGGCTGATGGGAAAAAATAAACGGACACATTAATAATTGGAGGAGGAATTCCAACTGCTAAAAGCAAGGATACAAACCTCTGCATAAATTGTATGTGCCACAGGGAGACACACAAGGATACATTCAGTGTAAAGTTTTAAAGTTGTACCAGCCAGCCTTGCAAAGAATATCAAAGAACAATGAAAAATCACTTTTTAAGCCCCTTTCAAAATTTAACTAAATATGTAAGGTTGAAGGCCATGATCCCCAATCAGTGCATTTGGAACTATGTTTTCAGATTTTACTTTCTCTTTTGGTCATCAGTTAGCACAGATGTTTCTGTTTAAGTATTGCTTATTTATTACAAAGTTGGAGGTAGGGAGATATATCAGGAAAGGTAATGAGAGAGAGAGACTTTGAATAACATTCAACAAACCAAGGAGCCTCCAAATTTAATACTGTTTCAACCCAACGCAACAACAGCAGATAATAACAGGGCAGCTAGAAATGTTTGTATAAGAATGCTCCCTAATGTGAACTACCACAATGTATAAGCTTCCTAAAGGGATGAATCAGTAGTCAGATGAATTTTTCAGGTAGCGAGAGACTCAGAAAAAGATCTACTGTATTGCTGGGAAAAGGGATGTAGCAGTTATGAGCTCATTGTTTGCCGACATTGTTATTCCAGGCTGCCATTGAATTTTAAATTACTTGGCAGACAAGGTGGCAGACAACTGAATGAACAGCATTGTTGAGAGGCAGTAATTGAAAGAAATAGAGATGAGAAATAGAAGGCCGCAGAAGAAGTTTTCATCTGTCAAAGACGGGAAACAAAGTTGCTGAAGGATTTACGAGATAGAAGAAAGAAAACGGAAGCTGGTAATTGCATGGCTTCTGGCCTCACGATATTATCTCTTCCTGTCATGTGCGCATCTCTTGCATGAAGCAGTTGTAATGCCTTTATGTCATTTGCCCCTCACGCCTGTTACGTTTCTCTCTGTGTCTTACTGATGACACATGCCAGATGACAAGGATGAATCGGGAAAGGAAAGATAGAAGGAATGAACGCATTGCTCCTGATTATACCTATATGTTGGAGAGTTTAGTCACATATCATACTTCTTGTCTTATCCAACATACACATGTGGGGAGTGCAAGTGTTACATTAAATGCGCTAATACTCTCTATGTGCTTCTGTCTCTTCTCTGTCTTTCTCTCTCTCCCTCAGGCTCAGTGTCTCTCAGTGTATTCCTGGTGTCTGTTGCATTCGTAGTGTGTGCCGTTTGGCTGGTAGCTCTATGTGGCGTCTGCACCTGGTGTCAACGTAAACTGGTAAGTTGTAGTGCTTATTATTCACATTTCCACAAGCATATTTCCATACTGACATTTATTTGAAATGGTTTAGAGAACATTACTTCCCCTCTCTGAACCACAACACTAAAGCTGATGATACACGAAGCAACTTTTAGAGCAATGGTGCTGGGCAATGTTGCCGTCAACGGTAATGAGAAAAGATTACTACCGTAATCCCCTTCCCCCACCACTCTGCCACCCGCTCCGCCCCACCGCTGTCCATTCATAACATAGTCGGGCTTGCCACAAGCAAGATTGCCCAGCAAGATTGCTCAAAAAGTTGCCTCGTGTATCATCAGCTTAAGTTTGTGTTTCTGTTTTGGGGGATGGACAGGCACAGACACATTTCATACAACACAGCTGAACGGAAATAAACAGAAGCGGAAAAAACTGACCAACAGTAAAACCAATAGATGCAGACTATGATATAATTCTCTTAGATCTGACATTGGTACTGTTGATCACGTAACGTTCATAATTTTCTTTGTTGGCTGAATTCTGACAGGCAAAATTAGCATTTAAAAACACTCATTAAATTTACATCACTCACTGCCAAGTTATTATTTGTTAATCATTGTAAAACAAAAGTTTTGAAGCCAGTTTCATCTATGTCTTTTTGATACATGTTTGTGTTTGACATGATGATTCTTAATAATTGTTTATAAAAAATAATTACTATTAAATAAATATTAAGTAATTGTTGTCTTTTATTGGGCAATAAGTAAGTTCTGTCCAGTATGCAAATAAAATCATCTTTTTAGCCATCTTATATTTCTTTTATATTTCTATAGGGCTGGTTATTGACACTTTATTATGGTAGAGCTGGTGCAAAGTATAAGTTTGAGTTGATTAATTGATTAGTGACTGACAGAAATTGTAACTGTTTTGATAATTGATTCATTATTTAAGTATACCAAGCGTCTTAAATAATGAATTGTAAAATGTTATCTTTGTGTTTTACACTGTTGATCAGACAAAATAAGACTTTATTTTCAGCCATTTCAGCCATGGCGGAAATTGTGATGAGAGTCATGTATAGACCTAATAATTAATTGAAGGAGTCACTGAGTAATCAAGACATTAACAGTCAGATAAACAATAAAAATAATAGTTAGTTCCATCCTATAAATGTTGCCTTTAACATAAACATGAAAATCATGTTTTGTAGAAAAACAAAACATGATTTTCACTCAAAATATACCAAGCTCTAAAATATGAAATAACATCTAAACTAACATAAAGATAACTTTGCCCAAAAAATAAAATATAGTCTAAAAAGAGAAACTTGTAATTTAAATCCGGATCTATTGATCAAACAATAAATAAAACATTCGCTGTCAGACTTTCTGTACTTTTAAGATTCTGATACTACAGACACATTACAATTAGTACCAAAAAAGATCACCCAGTCTTATGACTCATGAAAACACATCTTCTTTCACTTAGGCTATGTTCAGGCTTTTTATTGTCCTCTCACGGGCAGTGTTGGGCAGTAACACGTTACTAGTAGGCTACTGTAAAAATATTACTTTTCCCAGTAACTAAGTAGTGTAAGTAATTACTTTTCTATAACAGTACTATTATTACTAGTTACTAATGCAAGTAACGCTGCGTTACTCGTTACTGAACACACCATCCTTGACGTGAATCCACGACTGTGCTGCAGCTCAGCGGCACCTGACTTTGTTGTTCACGTCGGCTTATAGCCAAACACTAAAGGAAGAATAGAGAACGAGGGAGAGAGACGTTCTTTCCACAGCTGTAAGTAACGTTAGCTACTGCCATTATTGTGTCACAGTCTGATGCAAAGAACATTGTCCTCTAGTGTAAACCAGCAAAATGCTTTCAACCGCGAACATTTCTACATCTGATTCATTGAAGCATCTGCTGAAGCAGCACAGCAACGTGAAACTTACAGAAAGAAACTCCAGCAGCTAACGTTACTGTCTCTAATGCTTGGACTCGTCGGGAGAGTGGCTTTAACGTAGCGTTTTGTAACTACTGAATACTGCTCTTAGAAACAGGCTACATGTTCAGAAAAACAGCTGTTTAAAAGTCAGGATTTACTTGCTTTATTTTTTAATTTCAGCCGCTGGCGTTAAGGTTAGGCATAGGCTATATGCTTTGTAAAAACCATACTGCTTGCTGCAGTTATGAATATGATATTGGCTAAAAAGTCGAGGAGACAGCTTTGTTTGGGGGTGAAGGGAGGTGGTAGTGAAAGCAGTGTTTCCCATAATTAGCCTATAGGCCTAATTTGGATAATTATCAACACTGACCGCCACATGTTGATTTTCATTCTTTCTCTCTCTCTCTCTCTCTCTCTCTCTCTCTCTCTCTCTCTCTCTCTCGTGAACACCGCTGCACAAACCTGTCAAATGTTAACACCCCCCCTACCCGCTGTCATTCTGTGGGAAACACTGGAAAGTAATATAGTAATGTAACAAGTAACGTAACAACACTGCTCACGGGTCACATTTCCCCCGAATTATGACAACTGTTCACAACTTTCTGTTCTTTTCATTACGGTTTCTGGTGCTGTACAACGCAACTGCCCCACAACTCACTCCTTCTCTCTCTCTCTCCCGACTGTGTCTGCTCAGACAATTAAGCAACATGCACATAACTCAGAAGAGAGCTCGCGGCCCGGTGGATTTCAGGTGTAAGAAAGGGAAATTGTGATCAGATGATAGCAAGGTAGAGGAGGAAGAGAGCCACATGTATAATAATGGCTATTATGAAGCTTTTTCATTCACCACGGCAGCCCTAGAGTGACGTCAAAGTCGCATCAATTGTGAGTGTCCAGACTGAGGTTGCATTTAAAAAGATCCGATCTGTATCGGATTTGGACCACATATGAAAGTGGCCGAAATCCGAACTGGAAAAGATCACATTCCATGTGATTTGGCCTGTTCACACTGTCATAAGAAGATCAGATCTGAGTCACATGTGGGCAAAAAAATCGGATTTGGGTCACTTTGGCTTACAGTCTGAACATAGGCAAAGTCTCTTTTTCAACACTGAACACTATGAAGATAAACTGAGTTCTGTAAGTCAGGCTTTCTTTTATTGATAATGTGCCTTGAATTTAATGTATACAGTGATACAGTGAGCCTACTATCTGCCGTTGCTGAATGGTTTTCGTTTCCTGTGCTCTCTGTAGCAGCAGCCACAGAGAAGATTTGGCCATGACAGCAAACATGATCAGAGACCTTAGTAGTGCTCTCTATAAACATGGCTTTGTGCGCTCTGTGCTTTGTGCATCATGGCTGCTTGCCTCCAGCTTGCAGCGCCCATGCTAATGATTCATATGCTAATGAGCATCACTCTGAGCTGTTGGCTGCTCCTGGAGCAACTGTAATTCCTCCTATACATTTTGATCTGTTGGCATGTCCTGCACTCTGTCCTGCTTTCTGCGCTCCCTGCCACCCCTTTGTCCTACTCTCTCATCTTTGTCTGTCTCTCTGTTTGAGCAGTGACTGCAGCACCGCTGCTGATCAAACATATACAAGCTGAGAGTTAACTAGGCTATTGAGAGCAAAAGTAGCTAAGCTAAATGACATTATTTTCTAGGGTAACATTTATAATTGCTCACTAGACTTCTAAAGTAGGTTAGGTGCTTCTTAAAATCAACATACAGCAGCTGTCATTGCCTTGGAGTAACAAAAACCCACTGAACCTGACAAACAAACCCATTTCTTATCTTTTTTTACCCTTGTGTTATCTATGTCTCTGTCTTTGTTTTTGTGTCACCCTCCTTCTCCTTTTGTACCAAATGGTCTGGTCTGTATTCGTCCTTCTGTCACTTTATCTCCACGCCCTTGTCAGAATGTCACTGATTTCTTCTTCCAGGATCGTCCCTCTCTTCTCTTGTCCTTGCCTTGTTCTTGTCTCTCTCTTCTCGTCCATATTGTTATCATTTGTTTGTTTTGCATGTTACACTCCTAAAGGTTAAACAAATAAACGTACAGGTAAAAAAAAAAAAAGAAGCACTGTGCCACAGGTGAGAATATGAAGAAATCGGTAATAAGCCTGCAGCTATCGTTGTTTTTACCATTTACCAATCTTCTGATTATTTTCTTGTTTCGGCTGTAAAAGGTCAGCTTTTATTTATGAATCTCTATTTCCCAGAGCATTTACAAATTTCTTGTTTTGTCCAACCAATAGTCCAAAATGCAAAGATGTCAAATTTACCACCATATATTATCATATAACCGTGGTTCTCAAACGTTTCCACACCAAGGACCCCTAAACGGACACGACTTAGACCCCAGACCCCCATTTATAAGGAGTTTTGCTTTTAGATCTTTTATTAAAGTGTGCAAATAAATTATTTCCCTTTTTGATGGGGACCCCCTGGAACCCCCTAAAGGACCAAATGACCAAAAACCTGTGGTCACTGTTGGTGTTTGACATGCACATCAACATGAATCAAGAGTTCAGAGAGCTTCTAGTGTGTTTTGGAGTCGATTTAACTGAACTGAATGTTGAGGGGAAGAGCTTTTGGAGATATTTGTTGACAAGTCGTTACAAATATTACAAATTTCCATATTTCATTTATTATACCCCCATCCCTTGTGGTGATTACGTACTCATTTAACTTATTAACAATTAACCGAAACTATGATCTTTCTCCAACCTTACCCAAAGTGTTTTTGTTGCCTAATGTTCCCAGGAAACATAATCCAGGCAGAATTTACATTAGTGCAAAAATGAATAGGGCAAATAAATTAGGTATGTAAACACGATTTCTAGGATACAGGGTTGGTAAAGTTAGGTTTTGTGTGTTTAAGATGTTCAAGAAAAAATCACTTCTTTAGATGAATCACATAAATATGAATGTTATATTTCTGACCACAAAAATAAAAAGATTCATACAAAACCATTTGCTCCAGGACAGATGAAGCTGTCTGAAACTGGTCTCGTGCCATTGGCTGTTTTAGGGGAGTGGAAGGGGGAGGAGAGTGGGAGGAGGAGGGAAGTGAGAGGCAGACGCAGAAGCAGCCACAGAGGTATACAGACAGGCAGGAAGAAGAAGGTGATGGTGGTCCATGTTTAACACCCAGTTGTGTGACAAACATGATGACTGCAGAACTTAGTAGGGACGCTCCAGTGGGAAACAGGTCCACACTTCTCTGAGCAAGGAATCCCAGTCCCTCTCACATCTCCAATTCGACTCATGTGGCATCGTTATGGCGCTTGCATTATTCTAGATTCTGTTTCAAACCCTGCTCTATCCTGTCCCTTTCTGTTTTTCACTTGCCCCTCTATTCCGTTGTATATCTGTTTCTCCCTATCCTCTCAATCTTCCCATCCGTTTCTCACATCCTCCCACACTCTCTCAACATTGTACCACCCTCTCCTCTCCAGCCTCCTCAAGATTTTATGATTCTGTTTAATGATAGATGAGCTGCACTTGATAGCATATTCTTGACTGCTAGAACATCTCTCCTTCTCTGAGTCCCTAAATCTAATATTATTCTTACCTGTGTGTATGCACTGTACAGTATGTGTGTGTTTACAGTGTAGTGGCTGAATGTAGGTACAGATTAGGGCAGGCCCCAAGCTTCGCTCTCTATTGAAAATGTTTGTGCTGAGCTGGACACATGCGATGTGACATGATAAATAATAGAGTGGATTGTGGATGCATTAGAGATAGATAGATAGACAGTTGAATACATAAAGAGGCCACCTGTCTGCAGAACACTGAAAGCTGTAGCTCAGATAAACATTCAGCACTGTGTCTGAAAGCCTCCAGGCTGCACGCTGCTTAAAATCCTTTATTGAGAACAAGTACTTCATTCATCATAAAGTTTAAACTTGAGCAGCAAATCTCTCAACCAAAAAAAAAAGAAATCTTCTATCAAAGTCTGATAAGAAATTCAGTCATGTAAAAATAAACAATAGCATTGGCAATACAAATTTTTTCAAAAATGCAAGTAGACAACAATGAGAAGGAAATGGCTGAAACTGAAAATGGTAGAAGTCATAGAAGCTAGAGAAACTGTCTTTACCAGGAAAAACACAGCATTGGTAGTGTGTTGAAACACTTAAAAGAGCCTATAGTATTTACAGGTCTTCCTGACTGTCTGTCTGGTGGTGATATTAATTACTAACCTCTAGCAAAAAACATGACATTGTTATTTTCACAAAATGTGGATGGTCTCATCAAATACACGTGACATTTTTTGCTTCCTTAACTTGACCAAACCTTTACCACAAAGGTAGTAGATCAGAAAACATGTGCATGAGTTGGTTTTGGGACGGTCATATGGGTCATTGTGGACAACAGTGACAAGTGACCTATTTTGTCTGTTTAGTTGTGAGGCAAGTAGAAACTGTGTAGTGTCTGGAACCATCTGTTCTAAGGTTTTTCAGACAGCTCTTAATTATTTATCAGGCTGCATTAAAAAATATTCATATGTTAAGTACCATTCCACCCAGAGCCATGAGTCATAATCTCATGATTGGGTTTATACGTTTATATTAGCAAATCTGTGCGCAGCGACAGGCACTCTTCTGTGACTCTTCTTGCTATCATAAATAATTGAAGGAACATAAATCTAGTCAGCTCAGCAAATCATGATGTCAGACTGGCACTGTCACTTTGAACATGATGGTCCTCGGTTTTAACCCAGATAACTCAGATGCTGCTTTAACATTTGTATGTTCTCTGTGTATTTGTATCTGTGTATGTGTATTGGTATCTCCTGTTTCTTCAGTCCTACATTAAGACGTGCAGGTCAGGTGAACTGAAAAATAGCCTGTAGGTGTGAATATGAAACAGTTATAGCGATTATAGTGACATGAAAGAGACGACTGTAGTAGAAGATGTGACTGCACACCACTGTCTACTTAGTGTTCCTGATGCGGGGGCGTAGCCAGTTTCACTGCAAGAAAAGAGGATGTGCACATTACACTGTTTTGTGAGAATAACGGGATTGTTGATTCTGTTATAAAATGGCCACTCATAACTTGTACACATCATCAGACACTCATAGCAGACTGTAGAACAGAAAGAATGTATAAAATAATAAGTATAAAATTAATTATCTTATCACTAATAACATAGGATAAGATAAGATGGATTTTCTGTGACATTTAGTTTAACAATTAACATTCAATGGCACATTGCATCACTTTAATTTAGCATCATCATGCCTTCTACTGTTCCCTGCTCTTGAGCTGTTTGCAGAGTGTGTTGCTGAGGAAATCTCAGCTTTGAGGAAGAGGAAAGGAGTTAAATTGACACTTCAAAGAATGAAGTTAAGAATTAGTATACCAGTATGTTTGGTGGTTCTTGTAGAATCAGAAGGAGCAGGGTTGCGAGTGTATGAGGGAAACAGAAAACACCATTAACACCAAACAGCTCCTGAAAGAGAAAAGACTAGCAGGCTTCTCTGGATGTAACTCACTGCTATAAAAAGCAAGAAACCAACAACACCTTAAATAAAAAAAGTAAATAATTACCCAACACACAACTCTTCTGCAAGACTTAAAATATATTATTTCAAGAGTCATCATAATGAGACTGAAATACTTTTTGTCTTCCAGGCACATTGTGTTCCAGTAAAAGTCGTTGGCATGTATGTTGTATGTTGAGTTTCAGCTTTAAATCTTTTTTTTATTTGTCTGGCCGTATGTGATTTTACTTATTGATAACTAATTTTGAGGAATCACATGCAAAATACTGCATATTTTGTCAAACCATGACATATGTGATTAAAACTCAGCCAAGGTGATGAGGTAGATAATTATCTACAGCAGCAGATGGTCATGTAGCTGAGATGTCCAAACGGGATCAAGTCCAGTTCCTTGATTATGGCGAAAACTTCACTTGGTATGTCTAATTTAGTTTCAAAGCTAGTTGAGGAATGAAGAGAGGTCTTGTCTATTTAGTGGGCATTTTATGGCATATGTGCTCTTCATGTCCTAGTTGTGAGGTCACCATGGGAAAACATTACATAAGAGCAGAGGGTCTTTGTGACTCAGCTGGAAAGAGCTCAGCGTTATCACCCTCCAGAGTTCAATAAATATAGAGTTCAATAAAACATAGGGGTCAATAACTGTAACTACTGTACAGTATATTGCTCTGCTGAAAGCACTATCCATTAAGTGGTAAAAAATTGCAGACTGAGTAAAATAAGCTGTATAATATATTGCATTAGAATGCATTATTGCTGCCTATCTTGATTTTTCTCACTCTAAAAGAGCAGCTTTGAGAAGAATTCATTTGGGGTTTTTTCCCCGGTATGCATTTTTACCATATCTGGGATGTAATTTTTCCACTTTCCTTAAGCCGGATTTATGCTTGATGCCTGGGTTTAATGGCAGCCCCACTGTTGATATCCACAACGTTGTAATATATAGTTCAATGTCAGATTTCACCTGTTGATAACAACATTGCAACACTAGACAGATGTATCTGTGCTGTGTCCTGCTTAACCCCCACAGCAATTGTATTTACGCTTTTTTGTTCCCTGTGATAGAGAGCAATGATTGTGGTGAGCAGAAGATTTGCAGTGAAGGTGCAAGGTGTGTCACTGAAAAGAAGACTGAGATCTTCAGTTTCTTTAGAGTTGTGTTCATAATCTCCTCGCTTTGGAAACGTGAAGGAGAAAACACAAGCACCCTAAGCTGACTGAACACTGTTCTTGTGGCCTTTGTATAATATGTACCATTTCCGCATTAAAATGTCTAAAAACATCTTGACCTATGTTAAATATGTTTCCAACAATGCTCAAAACCCAGAGCAGTCCGTAAGTTTATTCAGGGGAATGGCGCATTTCATTTGGCCGCCTGTCCGTGTCCTTTGACCTTTACCCCCTCTGGTTGCCAAAACTTCTGGGGCAACACATGATACATCAGACAGTGAGGAAAGAAGTCAGCTAATGTGACTAAACGCAACGTGAATAAAACTTTGATACTTTACGTCGTCCATGAACATGATTACAACGATTGAACGTCAGATAGATTTTCATCTGCAGTGGGGGTTGTTTGACAATGAAGACAACAATTCCCATGATCCCGCGCTACTTCAAGACGTCATCAAACTATGTCTGTTGTTATAGTTTTGATGTGAGAGACCTCTAGCAGCAGAAATAGCATACTGTAGCTCCAACATGTAGCTACATTTTTAAGGAGAAGCACATCAGCAGCTCTGTGCTCTCTTTAGCTATGCTGTAACTCATTAACGAACAAATATAAATATAGCTTTTTTCTTTACAGCTATAAACCATGCTATGGCAGCTCCTGTGATAGAAAAGGTTCTAAACGTTCCGTTTTAATAAATGTTTAGTTTTAGTAGCTACATGTCCTCCAGTTTTAAATTATTATTGTATGTATACAAAGTCAAGTGTAGATAAGTATCATAGTATCTTACTTTCATTCTGTGTCTGATGTAAAGCATACTCAGCACACGCTGTGTAATAAGCATGTGCATCTCATTTGTTTGTGTGTGAAGACATGTCCGTGCATGTCAATGCATGGGAGAGTGTGTTTTTCATCATCATATTGTAGTTAAGTGGCCCCTCGTCACATTTTGATCCTCAGAAGCTGGCTGTCCTGGCATCAAACCAATCATTGCTTTTCCCCCGTTTATCTTATTTTACAACACGTTTGGAACCTGATGCCTCTCTGAAGCCTCTATAATGAGCACTTCGCTTGCAAAAATGCTTTTGTAAACAACAATCAAGACATGACTCTAAGATGTTCCCCCCCCCCATCGCTCTTTGTCTCTGTTTCTCTTCTGTCTCTATGCAGGGAAAGAGGAATAAGCCTGGGGTGGAGGCTGCCAGCTCTCCAGATTCTGTGCGAGGTCGAGGGGAAAATAAAGCCATCAAGTAAGTGTCAGGGAGGTTTTAGATGAAGGCATATGGAAATGATCTGTGAGGTGGTGATAGTATCGCATTTTAACAGCCATTTCTGATTGGAAAGCTAATCTTGGTCTGAATTGTCCACCATGAAATGATGCCCTCAAGACAGTGTTATATGGGACACAGTGAAAGAAAGTTACTTGTATATTCTGTTTGTATAAATCAATGTGTGGGTTACAGATTAATAAGCTTTACCTCAAAATGAGAGTCCACACAAAATGACTGCTTTTTTGCATAGTTATAGTTATATTTTGGACTGTAATATTTCTATTGAGAAACTTCATGTTGTTTATTGTTGTTATTATCTTTATCAAAGATCGGAATTGCTGAGTAGTGAGCAGCTAATGATTTGTGATTTATATTACTCATGTGTCACTATTTAACTTGCTGCTTCCCAAATTGTATTCTCTCAATTCACATCCAATGTGTGTTTTTTACAATAGCATGTTCCTTTTGTTTCATACAGACTTTTCTGCCTCCTGTGTTTTATTTGTTTCCTCATCTCTGACAGAGTGATAAAGGGTGCAGGTCACTCCTTGTTTCTCCATTCTGGGTGTTTTATCATGCACCAGCATTTCATGCTATCAGGTTTTTTGGACATGCACATTACAACAGACTTATCTTAAACTTGTATCCTGAAGAACCGTCAATGTAATGTTGCACTCACCTTATATTTTATGGACAAATGTATTCAGTATATGCGTTTAAATAACGGGGCATTTATAGGTGCTGACATTATAATTTTTCCCTATTTATAACACTCTCCCTGACCTTTAGATTTTTGATACTATTCTCACTTTGCTCTTGTCTCATCTGTCGTGTTATTCTTCTTTATAACTGTCTTTGATTGTGTGCTGCTCTTACCTCTTTCTCTCTCTATCTCTTTCTCTGGCCACAGTGATCTAGACAGAGACTTTTGGAATAACAATGACAGCAGCAACGTGCAACAGAGGTGGAGCTCCTACCCGCCCAAGGAGTTCCTCTTAAACATGTCTCCCTATGCTCCCTACGGAGACCCTCGCCTCACGCCCAAGTGAGTCTCAGTCATGGCTGGTAAGGGACCCCTCTATCTGGGCAGGGCTGTAATGAACAGGGGCTTGTGTGCACCTTGGAAAACTCCCACAAAGCTGTATGAGTAGTTAACATAATAAAAATTGGAAATTATAAGCACAGCAAAGATTTGTTTTGCACACTAAATTGGTCATTTTAACAAAGTCTAATGTTTGGCTATTTGCGTGAATAAGTACCTGACAAATACCACAAAAAAGGCACAAAGGCAATGGTTGATCAATATATCACTCTAAGCAGTGATATGGTCATATTTAATAGCCCAAAGGGGGACAGAAATCCTCATTTTGTAACGCTGTCTGGCCACATCTTTAAACAGAAGTCTCCTCTCATCCCTGGTAATCCTCATGTTTTTGCTTTTAGGCATGTCCACAGTGAGGTGGTGTTTAGTATGCACTGCTGGCCATGCAGCACCTGATAGAGATGTGCAGCACCATCTCTCAATATTACTGTGAGTCTGAGGACGGCCCTAACATTGACAGAAATTACAACCATTTTCCAAACGATCGCTTCTTAGTCAGAAAGACAGTGTTTCTGTCTGCCAGCAGCCATACAAAATTACTGGATGAATCCCATCTGAAAACAGAAAGCAAGCTTTAAATCAAACACATTGATGACATAGAAGTTTCCAGAGAGAATCAAATGTATGTTGGAGACTTTCCTGTTGGGTTCTATCTAGTTGTTACAGTCACAACATAGAACAAGAAATCTGGGAAGTAGCATTTTATTTTGCTTTCGCACGGTGTCCGGGTGTACAAGTGAAATGTTTGATAGCCCCATTCCCTACAGCCCTGCTAGCCTCATCAGACCCTCTTTACCTCTCACCTGCAGCCCATAGAGTGTTACCATGGAGACGGACAGCCCATCAGGGAGCAGAACTCACTGTTTCACCTGAACCTTTTCCCCCAACTCATTCACTCATTCTCATTCAAATCTGCTCCTCAGGATACTGTAGCAGACTTGACATAAACGTATACTTACCTAAGCCATTAGGGTTTCCACAGAGGGTTGACTGTTGTTGATTTTTATATATTTTGTTTATTTAAACCTTTGAATGGGTCGGTTTAAAGGAAAAGTTTGACATTTCGGGAAGTATGCTTATTTGCTTAGATGACACCACCACTCTCTGTTTCTCACTCCGTGTAGTTAAATCAGAGAGGTTTTAAGAGGAGACACACCACATAAAGAATGTGCCAAATCGGGAAAGATATTAAGCCAATCGTGTGTTTCCACTGTCGTAAGGGCCTACCACGCATGCGTCACTATTACCACGCAGGTGTAGTAGAAGTATAACCGGGGGAAAAATGCTTTTTAAACCTTATTTTGGGGCAAAATTATCAAACATTTTCAGCGTCTTTAATCCGATTTTACTGGTGATTCTATACATGCAGTTTTCATGTCCTGGTGACCAGTGAAAGTGCAATTATGGCTCTCTCCCCATTCACTTAGATAGGGGCCTGGTCTTGTTAGTCTTGGCTTTACCAAGGTGGCTGCCCAGTGACGGGACTTGCCTATAACGACTTTGGTTAAATACCAGGCTACGGCCAAGAGACAGTTTGCTTAGCATAGCTTAGTATAAAGATTGGAGACTGGGAAACAGATAGTCTGCCTCTGTCCAAAGGTAACAAAATCAGCCCACCAGCACTTCTGAAGCTCAGTGACATGTTATACCTGGTTTGTTTAATCCATACAAAAAACAAAAATGACAATTTGCTGTTGTTGCCAGCCCGGGAGCAACTAGCATAGACTTCAGAAACTCACTGCGCCTCTCTGACTAAGAAGTAGTCCAGCACATAACCATTCCAACCCTGGAAAAATGGCGAATTGTTGTTTCTACACTTATTTCTGACACAATTAAACAAACAAGATAAAAGTGAGTTATTAGTCAACAGTATTAATTTCGATTAGCTGTTTCCTTATGTTTCCAATCTTTGTGCCAAGCTAAGCACAGCTAAGCTAACTCTCTGTTCTTATCATATTCATATTTAACAGACAAATATAAGAGTGGTATTGACTTTCTCTTTTAATTCTCTGCCAGAAAACGAATAACCGTATTTCCCAAAATGTTCAAGTGTTCTTTTAATGGGGTGGTTTCTGTTCTACTTTTTTCACTGTTGTGTTGTTTTTTTGCGTGTGTGAAGTCGTTATGTGTTTTTACTCCTCTCACCTCTTCCTCCACTTGCTCTGTGTTTTCTGCTCATTTGTTGTCACTACTCCCACTATCACTCATAGTACTGTAAGTGCTTTATGGCTGCCTGATAGCCCTCCTGAGTCTGGTCTACTGAGCCCTTTTCCAAAAATAGTGACACAGCCTCCGTCGTGTACAATACAGCAATTAAGTGTTTGGATGGTAAAACATCTGTTGCATATCAAGCTCCAATCCATCATTTAGATGCATCACACACGTCACTGAGGCATTAAGTGAACCTGTTCATTCTTATCCTCTCTAATTACAACTCACTTGACTCTTGAATTATCAATTACTCTGTATCAGTGCAGTGATGTTGAAACTATTGTTAAAATCAGCAGCGATTGTTGGGATGGCATTGCATTATGTTCTTGAGATAATAATTTAGATTTGAGTGGGATTTAATAGGCTGATGATAGTGGCATTTGTGATAGCAGATCAGTGAGTATTTACTATTTCTTACTCCTTACCGTCGAAATGATGATGCTTTTAGGCAGACAAGGCAAGTTTGTTTGTTTATCACCTTTCAAACTCAAAGGCAGTTCAATGTGCTTTACATAAGGTGAATAAATGAAATGACAACATTTAAAAACACAGTTTATAGAGTAATTAAAACTGACAGAGAATATAATTTGATAAATAAAATGAAATGTAATAAAATACAATTTTATTAAGCCAGAACATATCTCATTGTTCTGTGAGAAATCATGCATTTAACCTTCAGCCTACACTTAATGTCTAAATGTTGTTGTACACTTTGTGTGCAGCTGTGTGTTGTGTGGTTTGTCCTCACTCAGTGAAAGGTCAACGTTCTGTCTGTACTCGTCTCTGTGACGTCTGAGTCGTGGTCAGCTGGGGTGGGTTAGGTGGCATGATGAGAAATGAGTTATGTGATTTTACTATGGAAACGTTTTGCACAAACTCATTAGAAGAAGAGCTTTTGTTTTCATCCTTAGCTGCAGGTGAGTTGCTGTGAGACTACAAAGACATTAGTGTTCTGTTCGTCTGCAGTTTTAAAAATCTGAAGATGATGCATCTGCCTCATTACTCAGCTATTATAGCCAATTCACAGAGCCAGCAGATTGGTCATTGCTGTCCCCTGTGTGGAGTGAAATGGAGTAGACCTGCTGCATCTCCATACTCATGAAATTCTGTGGCCTATTTCTCACCTCAAATGTTTGGAAAAACTGGTTTTAGTTGCCCGAGTAGCTGCAATAAGAAATAGGTCTCCATAAGTAATATATTCAAACTCTTTACTTTGCTAGTATTTTAAGTGAATTGTGAATTGTAATAGTAAAGTAATCAGTTGGCTATCAATTCTGTGCAGTTTTGAACAGGACTGTTGTAATTTGGAAGATATGTTTTTATCTCAGTCAAGTGACCACAGAAAAAACAACAACTGTGTTCTCCAATGTACTTACTGGGTTACACAATAAATCTCAGCTCAGACCTCTTCACTGCTTTTTTTCCCTGACTGTCTGCCTGACCAGTGGCAGCTGCTCCAGGTTTGTGTTGTATACTGGACGCTTGTAGCTGGATTGAAAGCTCACAAAGTGTCTCACTCACCGATTTGATTAACTTTACTGATAATTCTTTTGCTCTCCGGCTCTGTACGTCTGTCTCTCGTCTGTCCGTCTCTCTCTCTCTTCTTTGTATCCTCTCCTGGTCCTTTCTTTCTGTCTGTTCGTGTTTATTTGTCCCCCATCCACCCCACTGTTCCTCCCAGTGGGGCTGTGGATAAGGGTGGGCAGGGCGGTGCTGGACCCTCGCCGGGGGCCAGTGACAGTGGGGGTGGTGCTTGCTCTGGGACTGGGGCGGGGCCCAGTCGCAGTGACAGCGTTCGGAGCATGGTGACGGGGGGCAGCAAGGCCGGGCGCTGGCAGACGATCCAGAGCCACATGCATGCCGGAGGCCTGCGGTTTAGCAAGTGAGTGGTGCATGGTGAAAGGGGGCACACATGTGGGGCTACAGTGGGCACTGCAACAGCATGGTCTGAATATCAAGGAAGAGTGTGAGTTTGTAAAAACATTGTGAATGGCATTGTTGCATGAACACTCAAAAATGGACATCAACTGAAGGTATTTTTGACACCATGCAGACGAAGATACTGTAAGGCAGGCCTGGAAGCGAAGCTAGCTGCTTTGTACCTGTGATGCATCAGTAACTTCTGGTTGAAGTCTCTTAACTACAGAGAGCTCCGTCAGTCTTAAACAAGTACCATTTTTATATCAGCTGCCAACCTTCCACCAGCCTATGTCAGGACTGCCTCAGACAAAGTGAATCCACACAGTCATGCTGTTCCACTGCAGGCTCCAATTTACTGAAGGCTGTGACAGTTTTGAGACCTTTAAACAAAACAGATGCTGAAAATCTTCAAACATGGTGTGCTCACTTGAAGTAGGAGCTTTTTAAATTCAGAGTGGGTTGTTGAATAAACAGCAGGAGGGCAGTTTTATTAGGCCAGTGATACAAATGAAATCCTTTCCTTTAACAAAGCTCAGTACAGCTTAATTTTAACCCAAATTCACTGTGTAGCAACCTGCAAACAGCTGAGAAGGTGAGTTGTTTTTGAAATTCGGTTGGTACAATGAAGTTGCAAAAGGCAATCACATAGACTTTCTGTCTTCTAATCCAATTCAATCCATTTTATTTATATAGCACATTTTAAAAAACATGGTTTACAAAGTGCTGGACAATAAAAATAAAAACACATATAAAGCACAGAACACATAATAACAACATAAGACCACACAGTTCTCATGCTGGGTTAAAAGCCAGGGAATACAAGTGAGTTTTAAGACTGGATTTAAAACTTTCGAGGTTCGGGGCAATTTGACCTGTGTAGGTAGCTCATTCCACAGTTTAGGGGCTGCTGCTGAAAAAGCGCGGTCGCCCCTGGTTTTTAACCTGGTTTTTGGAGTGACTGTGAGAGGGTGTAGACTTGTAAGAGGTCTGAGATGTAGCAAGGTGCCAACCCATTCAGTGATTTGAAAACAAACAATAGGATCTTAAAATGTATTCTAAAATGGACCAGGAGCCAGTGTAGCGAGGCCGGGACTGGTGTAATGTGTTCATGCTTGCGAGTTCAGTTTAAAACATGAGCAGCCGAGTTTTGTATTTTTAAGTGTGAGAGAGAGGTTTGGTTAATGCCAATGTAAAGTGCATTACAGTAGTCCAGACGAATTGAGATAAAAGCATGAATCACATGCTCATAGTGCTTACGAGATAAAACAGGGTTGAATTTAGATATAAGCCTCAAGTGATAAAAACTGAATTTAACAACATTATTTATCTGTTTTATATTTTTATCTGTCAAGTTTAAAACCACTGTCTATTTTGACACCCAGATTTGTCACTATGGGTTTCGCATATTGTTGCAGGTAGCCCAGGTCAACAGGAAGGATATCACTGGCCCGAATGGGTCCAAACACAATGACCTCAGTTTATCTTCATTTAGATTTAAAAAGTTAGAAGCCATCCAGGCCTTAATATCTTTTACACTCTAGTAGAGGTACAAGGGAGTTGTTATCACCTCTTTTGAGGGGCAGATATATTTGGGTTGAATCATCAGCATCAGTTAAAATCAAAGCTGGTGGCCATGACATAAACCCATATTTGCCAACCTTCAGACCTCCAAAATCAGGAGCATTGTGAACCCGGGAAGAAACCGGGAGAGGGCAATGAAAAACGTTAGTCTCCCGTGAAAATCACAAGGGTTGGCATGTATGGATAAAAAATAATATAACGATAGTGAAACGAAGTACTAAAACTTTGTTTTAGTTCCGTTCATACACCTAGGCCACATGTAAGCTAACAGATTTGGTTGCTCGGTAATAGTAATTTTATTGAGAAAGCTAAAGTTATCAGTTATCAGCATCCTCTACTAATCTTACGTCTTCAGAAGAATAAACCAACAGCAAGATGTAGCTCGGTAACAAGGCCACCATAAAGTGTTGCATTATAAGCCAGTTATATTGCAGGGGGAGTTATAATGTTCACCTTGACATAGACTTCAATGGACTGTACATATAACATGTTACATACCTGTCTAAGGAAATATAACTCGCTAACATACTACTCGCTGCAAAACTTTGCCTGGGTACATATAAACATGTTGTGCGTTTAGGTAACATTGACGATGTAATTTAAATGAATATGGAACGGGGAAAAACACTTCCAAACCAGTGACTCCTCCCACTTCACAACTCTATAAACATGATGAGATATTACCAAAGCAAAAACCAAGATTAAGTATTGGCAAGAATTGTGGGTAACCACACACATTTCACTATATTGCAGGTAGTTTAAAGCTTCATGAAGTGATCTTTCATCTAATTAACCCAAATGATTCCTTGAAATGGATACTGTTCATACTCCATAGTCCAGTGCCTCCAAACCATTATAGCTTGTGTCCCCTTAAAAGAAACTGTGTGTACTTACTCTGTGTAATACAGAGTGATTGTTTGCATTCAGTTCATATGGTTTAGCCCAGCTATTGTCACAAAAACTCTAAGCAGCTGATCCAAGCACTCACTTCACACAGTAACACCACGTTCCCAGTGCAAAATGGCTGAAGTAAACAAGTGGCTGAAGACAAACATTTATCATGGGAAAAGAACCCACGGGTTTGTTATCATCACTTCCAGCTATGCTGAGCAGTAAACATATGTGCTCACAAACAGTGATAAGGTCAGAGCCTACATGCCATTAGCAACTGTATAAATGTTCTGTATTTGTATAGAAATGCTATACAAATAGTGGTTGGTTGGCGAAAGCTCAATGTTTTTGTAAAATACCAGCATGTTGAAGAGACTAATGAAAATAATAAATATAAGGTCTCTATATGTAAATCACAGCGCAGATCATCAGACCCTTTTGTACTGTATTGCCTAAACAGTTACAGTTACAAATAGTTGGATAGATTAATAAACAAATGTAACATGTAGTTGCACCTGGTGGGTTCACAGTTAAAGTCACCCTCCCATTCATTAACTCATTCATAACCAACTTTGTATTTATAAATTGTATGTCCTTGTTATCATACAGTAAATTGGTTAGGAACAAGAGAGCGACGCTGAATGTGTGCCCAAAATTAATCATTGGGCATGTTTGACAGATTTTCACAAATGTTAAAGTTAACCTTATAATGATGTCACTCTTCTGTTTTGCTCCCCTTTACTCCTCCTTTCAGATCTACCTGTATTTCCATTTCTCCCTGGAATTGGCTTCTATTTTTGGGCATTTAACTCTCCCCCTCTCTGCTTCTCCCCTTCACTCTTCACTGTTGTTGGTTTTCTTGCTCCTACTCTTTCTCCTTGTTTTTCACCCTCCTCAATTTTCCTTAATTACAAAATCATTCAAGGTTTATAGTCATCCTAATTGACTTTCAAGCAAGAAGAAATAAACCGTCTAAGTAATAGGATACAGCAGATGAAGAGCGCTCATGCTCAGGGAATATGAATGACTGGTGCTGTACAGGCAGATACAGAAGACTGAAGACAATAAAGACGTACAGTACCTGAAAGCACAAGTAGATACAACAAATCGAGGAAATCACTTTGTGTATGTGTGTACTATGGCTGTGTTGTACAGCCTTGGAATTTTTGGCCAAATTTATGACACCGAACAAACTGGCAGCATTAATTACCACACGGACTGGCAGCCAGATGTAGTAATTTATCATGTCATTTATAAACAAATTGGTACGTGCAATATATTGCTTTCCACATGTGTTACTGGACCTTTTTATTTATTCTTCATATCTACAGACTCTACCATAGCTGCAGTGTTTGGTTTATATGCTCAGATGTTCAAATTACAACAGTAATTGTAGTCCACCAGTCCTTGTGACACATGACAAGTGTTGTGATTTCACCAGAGGAGCGACTCATCATTTGGAGGAAAAGGCTCAAAACAGTAGAATACATAAGTCTCAACTGCAGTTGCTGTGGAGAAGAAACCAGTCAGAGGCGCAAATCAGAGCTGAAACAAACACAATGAAAAACACTTTGTTGTTACTTTTGGTAAAAAAACAACGTGCCTTGTCATCCAAAAGGAACCAAAAACGTTACTGGTTTAAACTGAAGATTACAACAAGTGTAGTCCTAGCTTCCACTTGCTGTACATAGTTTAAAGCTCCTTTATTGGATATTTCTTGCACCATATGAGTCACACTTAACTTCTCTAGTTATGTTTTTATGTACACTTGCATGTACCTTTGACTTTTTTTTAAATCAAAGAACCAGAATGAATGCAGTTGCTCATCTTTTGTACTGATGATTCAAATCGGACTTTCATGCAAGCCTTGGAAGTGATCCAACTAAATATTGCCTAACGTTGTCTGTATAGAAAATAAACCAGACTTTTCCTTCTGGAACCCTAAATGCCCATAATATCTCCTCCCACTTCAAAACTCTATAACACTTCTGCTCAACAGAAATTGGCTTTTATACATTAATTCACATTTATTCAGTTAAATTATTATGCACAAGTAAATAAACATTCACATCAAAGCCTATCCTCAGGAAAGACCTAATGGTGTGCAATATGAAAGTGTGCGTGTGTATGAGAGAAAGTGTGTGTGCATGAGCGCATGTATATGAGCTCTGTCTTGTATTTACTTGATCCAGCGTTGCTCTGCTCCTCAGGGGGCTTGTCTCTTGACTCTCCAGCAGAGTTAGAGCCAAGTTAATACTGAAGAGTGCCGCTAAAGCAACTCAAGCCCATGCAGTAAATCCTCCCTCACAGCATTAGCTTCAGACGGGGCTGTTTAGCACAAGCTTACAGTTATCAGGCAGGGCAGTGATTGAAGGGAGGATAAGGGGTGAAGCACTATTACATGATTGTTAGAGTAGCAGCCCGGTAATTAAAGAGAGAGACAGAAAAGAACAGGGATTGGAGGTGCTGTGGCGATAGATTGATGTGAGGACTGAGGCTGTAGAAAAGATGAATGGACAGAGGAGATGGAGAGCAGCTGAGCTCAGGAGCACAAAGGTAAAAGGAAGAGTGGGAAGGGAAATCATAGCATGAGCAGATAGGACCTTATACAAAGATGGATGTGAAAGGGAGCAAGGCAAGAAGGTAGAAGTAGGTCATGGCTAATTAGGGAGAGAGGTAACATACAGAACGGAGGCTCAAGTTAAGTGGCAATGATACTTTAACTTCAGCTTGAACTGAATTCCACTTGGGCAGAGGTCTGTTTTGACACCACTTTGGAGAAGAAGAATTTCAAGTTTACACAATGCATGCCAGCCCATCCATGCACTCATACACTGTCATCCAGCATAAGCTCAAAAATTTGCACAGTTGTTTTCATACAGATGTTTAACAGTAACCTAAAGCTTTCTGACAACTCTGTTCTTCTTTCTCTCCATCCTCTCTCCCCCTTTCACTGATCTTCTTTGTTGTTTCCTCACTCTTGATCCTCTCTCCCTTTGATATTCACTGCAAACTCTGTGTTCCCATATTTCGATCTGTGCTGCATCTATATATGTTTTTGCCATTTTTATCATCTGCGCCTTCCTTTTGATATCAACATGATCATGTGTTACCAATTATTTTTTATACTTTCATCTTTTCTAAATCCTTTCAAAACAACCTGCCCTGTCCTGTTTCCCTCGTGTTATCTCTAACTCCGATGTCTTCCTTGTGGTATCCATCTCTTTCCTCGGCGCTCCCATGTGTCTGTTCAGTTTCGGGGATGCTTCCCTCTCGTCTGCTTCCACCCTGGAGCACATCCCGTCCTCAGCCGTGGCGCGTCCTCGGCCCCTGGTCCGGCAGCAGAGCCTCCAACAGCCCCTCACTCACCAGCCCCCTCCGGGTCCCAACGACCCCCCGGTCACCTCACAAAGCCTGGGCCAGCTGCATACAGGCCCAGGCGGCGGGGGCCACCGTGGGGGCCCGCGCGGGGTCCGGGGGAGTCCGGCTGGAGCCTCCCGGTACAGAGGAACCGGTGCAGGCCGATCAAGGTCAAATCCTGGCAGCTGGGATCACATGGTGGAGCAGATCCGCAACAGAGGGCTGGACGTCAAGTCGTTTTTGTGAGTGTCATGAAGTTTTCTACATGAAGTAAAATGTTGCATAAGGAAAGGTTGACAGGAGACAATATGTAAATTTTGAATGAATGCCACTCTTGTTATCAGATACACCAACGTATTTCAGTTTGATACAACAGTCCTGCGATAAATCCAATACATCGCTTTTTGTAGAAACTGTTTTAGGATGTGTTAATTCAGTTTTATTGTCATTTTGTAGGCTGTACTGCGGTTTGTGGCAGTGTGTGTTGGAAGTTGGAACTATTCTGATCCTTTATTTCTATAAGTAAAAGTAGAAATATTCCAATGTAAAAAAAATATTCCATTTCAAGTAAAAGTCCTGCATGCAAAACACATTGTAAAGTGAAAGTATGGAAGTATTACTTTAGTATTACTATGAAAGTATATTACCTGCACAATGAAGTACTCTATGTGCAGATAAATAGCCCCTGTGAGTATTAGTATATCATGTTATTGGAGCGGTATTATTACTCATGTATTAATATTTAAGTTGCGTTTCATTGCTGTTGTTGGTTCAGGTGGAGCTCATTTTTCTGACATGCAGTGGAGGAGTATAAAATGGAAATACTTGTGTAAAGTGCCTCAAAATGTTCTGAAGTACAGTCCTTGAGTAAATGTACTTAATTATTTTGTTTGTAGCGCTGTTGAATTGTATTGTGCTGAAAGGTTTTTCTAATGCTTTGTCAACCCCCGTTATTTCAATGAGGGTGGACAAAACATTAGACAGCTTAGGGAAAGCACCGTATAATGGAATACAAGTCAACAGCACCACAAACTTCAGCCTCCAAAAGGATTCTGTCTTCATGAAGGTAGGGTTTATTGGAGGGCTGTTGAATAAGACTGCAGTAGTTTAGGCTGTATGTACAGGGGATGGAACAACTTCCCTTATCTGTAAAATGTAATTCAATCCTCTGCTCTAGCCTTGAAATAAATAATACCCTTGCAAAACTTTAAAACCCTTTGTTGAGGCTGTGCCAGAGATAGTGATTCAAATTATCATAATTTTTCAGGGTATAGTTTGTGATGTTGATGTATTTGTCAGATGTGACTGATTTTACTACATTATGCACATAAATAGCTAGTCATGTTGATGTGTCCACCATCAGTAGGTCACATTGTCTTCTCTCAGGCACACTTTAACCTTTGTGAGTATGCTGCATAGTGAGTTTTTGAAGGCTTTTAAAAAAAATTTATTGTCTGTTTGTCATTGCGTGTTAGTGTGCATATTTTTGTTTGTGTTTGTTAAATAAAAAAATAACAGATTTCAGCACCACTGACAGAAGAGGTGTTGATATAACATCTGAATATTATGATATATTTGAGCAAGTGTATTGTTTATATTGTGAATACCTAGTAACTGCAGAAGGTCAAAAACCTTTCATTAAAAACAAACAATTGTATTTAATTTGTCCAGTGTGCATTCATGAAATTATCTAACTAGATTTAATTGCATGTGTGCATCATCACAGCATATGTACATGAACTGCACAGTTGCAGTAACATGTAGGGACTGTTGTAAGGTTATTCCCCTCTATTTGGATCTTTTGTTTCTAGATTCATGGCAACAAAACAGTGATCGGTAGTTACTATCACCATGGGGGAGGTATAAAAATGCTTCAACAGCTGGACATGGAAATGTTGTCAAAATACTAATTTCTAAACAGAGATTCAGCTTGAGAATACATATACAGTAGGCATAATAGTTGAAAAATGCATTTTCAATCACTTAAACAATAAAACAATAGTTCCCATACTGGCACTCTCTATAGACTTGATTCAACTTTCTTGATAATACCAACATAGGCAATTAGACAAAATGTAACAGTAACACATGATTAAATAACCTTAACCCATCCAGGGTTCAAAAGAAATATTCTTTCACCCCACACTTAACAAAGTTTTTACGATTTTCGGATTATCCACTACTGAGTAGGTCAGCTGCTGGTGTGCTAAGGCTAGTGATTGTTTGAGATACCGAGCACCCCTCCCCTCCTGACTACAAACATAGACGCTCGCACACATCCTTACACACTGCTCTACACCCCTGTACTTTTGCATGTCTTCCCATTAACAGTGTCTCCAGGCCAGCGAACTCCCTGCCTATGTGAATCATCATTCAGATAAGGCTACTGCACGTATAGAGGGAGGTGGCATAGCCCATCGTCTCATGTCCTGATGAATATTATTTGACCAAACACGTCACTTGTTGCACCGGAGAGGGGGCAGTGGGGAGTGGGAGTATATTTATATATATATATATATATATATACGGTATATATGTATTTATGATCGGCGGGGTATGAACAACCAAATGCAGCAGCTTCACCCTCTACGTGTGTCCATGGCTGTCGTGCAGTGTGGCAACTGAGCCACCCCGCTCACATTTCAGATCAATAGGCTGGTGTAGGTTGTAATGACTTCCGAGCCCTCCGGTTGGAGTGTGTGTGTCTTTTTTGGTCATCTATACAAATCTATTCACCTTATCGATGAGCCTCATGTTGTTACTGTTTACACTTCCCCAGTGGTCCGCTGTCTCTCAAGTGCTAATGTGTTCCTCCTGTTGTCGATATTGCATCAACAAACAGCGTCTTGTTAAGGAGGGAATGCACTATACAGAAAGTGCATGCAGGCTGGGAAAATAGATGCGATGAGAGGAAGATGATGAGAAGAAAACTGAGGAGAAACTGATCATTAAAAAAAAATACTATAAGATGCACAATTTTTTAATCTTTTGATCCTATTGATATTTGTTTCTACATAATTCAACATTTGTATTGAGTTTTGTCGTGGTATCTGGCTCAACATTGCAGGATTTAAACCTTTATGTACAAAAGAGGTTTTGGGCGCTGTTTTATATGGACACGTTTCAGAAATGCTAAAAGAGTTTTTTCTTAATTTCTTTTCACTCACCTTGTCATTCAAAACAACGTAACACCCACTAATCCACAAAATAAAGATGTAAAATTGTGCAATATGTTTTATAATTATGCCATAACTGATCGCCAGGTGACGTAAAGGGATGCAAGAAATAAGCAAAATCATTTTTGGAATTGCCCTTTAAGAAATGACGGTTGTCTTTGGATCAGCACGCTATGTTAGAGGAAAAGAGCATGGTAGAGGCAGAGAAGAAAGTTAGAGAAGCCAGAATAGTGTACAATATGTAGGTTGTTATTTTGTGACCGTGAGTTACAAGGTTAGTTGCGGACAAATGTTTATTTATTAAGGTCACTGTTTTTATGGCCTCTTGAATTCACGGTGCAGCATACTTAGTAAGAAGTAATTTAAATGACTTTGGACATGTTTAGAGGGAGAATAACAGCTGAAAATGTGTTTTTTGTTGCAGGTTTTTGTTAAGGCCACCTCAATTTATATGGGTTTCTTTGCTTTTTCTTCTGTTTTTCTCTGTTGTTTTTTCTGCATGTCCTTTCAATTGCCTCTGTTTTCTCTCTGAAACAATACAATGCTTTTCAGTTTTTTTCTTGGAAACAGATAATAGAGGATGATAAACCAATGGAGGCATCAGTGGTTCTGATTGTTGATTTGTGCGATGCTCATTTCATTAATATCAGAAGCACATTTTTATGACTACAATATCAACAGTGGATTAAACAAAACTCTCTTAAGAAAGTGAATGCATCCCTGTGCTTGTAAGAACACACTGTTCACTGATGCGTGAAATAACCTCATATATTGTAAAAAGCACATTGTGGATGTTGGTCCGTAATGAATATCACTTATATCGTTACTTGTATTGTCATTGGAAACATTATGCAATAAAAGAATAGATATTAGCAATGCATGGGGTAATATGATCCATACCACATCACGTTGGTATTAAAGAACTAAAGTAAGAATTAACTCCGCATGTGATAAATAGTAAACGGCAAACTCATCTGTTTATCAAGTAGAAACTGTTCATGCTAATGCTACAGCATGCAGTACATTAAATAATCATAGGCACTATGCATTATCCAAAACATGAGAATAAGACTTCGTAGAAATTCAAAGACTAGATGGCTTTTAATAGCACACTCTCAACCTCACAGAGTTGGCTAGGGGAATGGTAAGTAAGATAAAAAAAAAAGTCTTTAGGTCTTCTTTCAGTGACATCAGATCTATTTTCTTCTTTCCTCTAATGCAGTCTAATTTGCTAATATAAGAAAAGAGAAGTATTTGCCAGACAGAGCATCACTGATGGTGGCAATGGGAGATTATGTTTTCTCTTTATATGAATGTACTCTCCATAGAATGAAATCTTAAAAACTTTGGATTACTTACAAGTTTCTTTTGATGCTTGCTAGTCATGTTAGGCTTTTTGGCTTTTCCCCTTTCCTTTATTGGGTTGAATGTCTTTTTTTGTGCATGTAATAGGTTTGCAAAGTAAAAAAGCCTAATTTCCACCCCAAAGGGAGTTACCATCTCCCGCCGAAAACACTGCTCCTGAACTGCCTGAAAACAGCTCGTTTGTAGTCCAGTCTTTACTTCCATTACCTATCTGTGTCACTATGCAACATGCGTCATAATGCCCGCTAAGCGGCTAGTCAGGTACGCCCTCAGAATTGCTGGTGGAGAAACACACTAAGCTGCAGCACACACAGTGACAAGACACATGACCATTAAAAAACTCCCATGAAGATGTGTTTTGCAGAGAAAACCATAAAACCATATGTTGTAAATTGCATTTGTAGATTATGGTTTGTGGGTGTTATGGCAATACATAAAGCAACAAAATCCAGTGTGTTCCAGGTTTTGAAAATGATTATGTTGTTGATGATGTTGATGATGTTGATGAATGATAAAACTGTTAAGTACTTGGTTGACACAATGGCAAGAAATGCATGCAGTAGTGTTAGATTAATGAAGTCTGTACTGTATTCTCAACTCACTCCAAGGCACACACAGGTCTGGTTGAGATGCATTGCAATGTGAGGTGTTCACTGAGCATTTGTTAAAATGAAACATCCTCTCTCCCACTGTCTCTTTGTGCATGAAATGAATGTGTGCTGCTTGTGTTGCTGTGTTTTTGTGTGTGTTGGAGTATGTGTTTGTGTGTGTCCATGCCTATTTGTATTCATACCTTTGTGGTGTGGTGATGTCTTGTTTGTCTGTGTGTCCAGTGAGGGGAAGATGGTTGTTCTGTCTCTAGCAATCGGGCTGGCTGAACAGGATGACTTTGCCAACCTCCCAGATCTACAGGAAGCACCAGCAAGCAAAGAAAACGAAACCACACCAGAAAAGAGGTAATGAGAGAAAGAGAGAGAGAGAGAAAGAGAGAGATGTCAGGAATGTGATTAGTTAGGCACAAAAATGTTGTGTTCTGTAGTGGTCTACACTGTAGGCTGACCTGAAAGATCAACAGTTAATAGTCTGAAATGGTGAAGTACTTTTAATGTTACCCTAAAAAGAAAAATACATCTGCTTAAATGTCTTTTATTCTTCTTATAGGATTAAAATGAGAAGCAGTACAGACCAGCACTGACTGCACTTCTACAGTAATAACAAACACTTTCAATTTGATGATAAATACTATAGTTTGACTGTGCTCAAAACTTAGTTTGGAAGAAACTGTGCCTTTTCACAATCAAAAATCATCAGTAAAGAAGTGAAATCGTAATAACATATTTTATTATGTATAATATATATAATAAGCTATATTAACTATGATGGCTTGATACTACATGAGGTTAAAAATACTGATGTCAGCCCCAAAGCCCCATTTGACCAGCCTCCTTTTTTTTTTTTTCAGGTAACTGTTAGACGTTCCTTCCCTCTAAACCATCTGAAATATAATTTTAGTGGAAAAGTCCTCCATTTTCCAGAAATCATCACATTTAAATATGTTAAAAACAAATCATATTCAGCCATTAAAAACCATCACGTATAATCTAATGTTGATATAACATTTGTAAATTCCTCCATAGGCCATTAGAATCCCCACAAAAACAATTCCAAGGACATGACCTTGGTATTCTCACTACGGCCCTGATTGATACTGTTATATTAATTGGGTTACTCTACCTCTGACCAGGATGTTTTTCTTTGACTTCTAGCACGGAACTAAAAACTCTGGTTTAGTCCTTTTCCTTTTGTTTGTTTCCTTTTGTTCAGCTAATGTTGAGCTTACTCAAATTTATATTTTGCATATCACCACATTTTCTTTCCAGCTTCACATTTGAGGTCCTCTTGTTACTTTTTTTCAAGCCCTCTGTGTTCTTCATCCAGATCTTTGTAAGTCTGCTTGTCTGCAGCTCTTCACTGATCTATGAGTTGTAGAGGCACAGAAGGACACCCTCATTATTTAGAAGTAAGGTTCCTCACACGAAACACTTGTCTAAAAATATGCTAACCTGTCATCTACCAGTGATCTCAGAGCAGCTCTCAGCTGGTGAACAAAAGACTGAGCTTCATACAGGGCAGACTCCAGCCTGCCCTGTATGAAGGATAAAGTGCTTAACCCACTGTTTTAAACTAGTAGGCTGAGAACATAACAGTACATAGATTTTTGTTTTGTTCTTTTCAGAAATGCTGCTTTTAATTCCATTAGATTTCTCAAAATGCATAAAGTTTTCCCAAAACCTTTCTGCAGTGCATCCAAGTGTGCTGTTCTAACTAGGTCATCTGTGAGTTTGTGGTTGTTGAAAAATAGCAGTCTGTCTTGGAAGAAAAAAACTTCTCTTTGAAAAGATATGTTTTTGATGTTATTGCGACAATTATGACCTTTTAAATGCCTTTAAAATTTATTTCAAAATGTCTAAGGGTCAGCCAGGGGATGAGCTTAGCTCTTGTGTCCCCCCCCCCCCCCCCACTGCCCCCGTCATCCTCTCCCTCTCACTGTCAAGCACCTAACTGTAATCACAGCCAGCCAGTGAGCCTCTACCCCGAGGGGTCGAGAAGGCCAAGTTGTCTAGTGTCCTTCCACAACTAATAATGGCTCTCCATCATCATATCTGTCCGTCTCTCTCATCTCTGTCTCTGTAGTTACCCTGTAAACCCCCCTGTGCCTGTCTGCTGGCTTGCTCCCGGTTGTTTTCATGGAGCCTTGTGGACTAAGAACGAAGGAACAAGATGATCCGGCCAAGAATATATGTGACAAGACAAGACGCTGTCAAACAGTAAAAGAGAGACAGAAAGAGTGGGAAACCTTTGCTCTCTGCTTTCTAGAGAAATATACTACAAGATAAAAATAGACACTCCCATAGAGGTTTGAGATTCTGTTGGTTTATTAATGAAATCAAATACAGCTTGGAGCACAAATATCTACAAACACAAAATCTGATAATAGTGAAATAATAGGATAAAAGCAAAAGCTGTGTGTGCTGTGTATGTCAAATCTATATTTGTTCAGTCAATCCCTCAAAATGTGGACAGTAAACAAACAGACAAAGTGGCACCCTGTCCTTGTCCAATAGCTTTTATAAATGTAGACATAAAAGCTGCAACAGTTTTTTGTCCACTTGGGCAATAAGGTGTGTAGCTCCCCCTCAAGTCGCACCCACCTCAAGCCGCGCCCCCTTTCCCTAGAGTCTGTTATAATTATCTACGGTGTCAGTACCTGACCCATTCTGCACACGTGCATACTTATTCCTACTACATAAATGTCATGTCATGAAGGTCTGAAAACAATTGAAAACATTTTAAACGTAAAATTCTATCTTCATTAGTACAAATTAGCACTAATTGTTTCCACACCAGTAAAAGTAAACTTCATATTAACAATATTAGCTCGCAGTATTAAAAGTTAACAGTCCCATTGTATGCTGTCACAGTCACAGCATGGATGTACAATTAGAGAATAAAAGTTCTAATAATACATCCGTCCTTTTGTCTTCTTTTCTAATGAACTTTAAACTAGATCCAATAGCAAAGTCACAGTCCTCCATTGGCCCATTGCGGGTTTAGGGGTTTTACTGGAGGCTCCTGGTGCGCCCCCTCATGCCATGCTAGCAAACAGTTGCCTTTTTACAGAACCAACAGACATATTAACATTCATTTGGAGTTTGTGTTTGTGTCCACCTTTTTTCTTACAAAAAATATTTGGGGATTTAGGTGCTAAATGTTTCACTGTGTTCACCAGCTTGTCACTAACTTTGTTTGCTGTTTGATGCTGGACAGGTAGCATACAGTGGGTTTATCAGAGCCTTTTCACTGAAAAGAGCTCTCTGCTACTGATGGAAACAAAACAAAGTTGATGGAAGTTATATTGAACCAAAACACTAAATTTGCGGGCTGTAAAACCAAAACAATGAACTAAAAAAAGCTCTGTGTTGGTGAAGGGAACTGCAGAGTTAGGGATAATTCTTTGTCAGTTCATCACTACTAGCAATCTCTTTCACATTACACACTTCATCCACAGCTATAAAAACAAATTATTAATGCAGCTTTAAAGTGTTTTAGAGTTCAATCAGTGATCACTAATCTACAGCTGCTAAGGAACTTGTAATCGGGAATCATAATTATCTCATAAAACACTGTTTCCCTTGTTCAAAAGAAAGTATGCTTACATAAATGGAGGCATGTATTACTTGTCTAGTCAAATTGCAGTTTTGGGAATCAGTTGTAATATGCAGGCAGATATTTAGTGGTGTGTACTCAGATTCTGAGAACTGCTGATCAAAGCTTGCAACATAGCACAGAGAAATTATCTGTTCTTTCTGCCTGTCAGTCATTTATAAACTAAAACTAAATACTTGCAGAGGAGCCTGTTTCAATCATTAACAGCCGAACTTGCATGCATATACTGTATGAGCGGAGAGCGGTGTGTGTGTTTGTGTGTGTGTGTGTGTGTGTGTGTGCGTGCGTGTGTGTGTGTGTGAAATTTACAGAGTTAATTATCAGCAGTGTGTATTGTGAGAAGTTTAATGTTAACCTGTGGTTTGGAATGCAGCAGCATCTACAGCTGTATTAAACTTATCACATCTTAGAAATAAAATCCCATTAGACACCAACGCAGCTGTGATTACAGTTAATTATATTATTGTCAAAGGACACATTTTGTTTTTCACTGATCTGTTATCTAGACACAAAGGCCTTGTTTTCTCCCTCTGTGTTAAGCGAAAGGTCCTCTAATCTCTTATGTGGTACTTTTTGTTATGTGAGTCAATTTGGGTCACCGTGGTAGACCGGCCAAAGCCCTGCGGTGGACTGGACATAATCACCCACCTGCAGGTAACTATGATGGAAGCTCTGAAGCTGTTTGTTATTATCATCTCAGAAAGCTGTTGTTGCATGGAGAAGCTGCATCTTAATGAGCTCAGAGATTCGCCACACAGAGAGATGCAGGGAAATAAATATGAATAAACCCAAAAGAGCTTACGGACAGTCTCCACTCTGAACATTGAGTTTGTAAACGTTGTAAAATGTGCAATGGTTTCTGAAATGGAGCATGTCAACGTCTCCTCCCATTCAATACAAGCCAAGAATACATTGTGCCTGGATAGAGTGTATATGATGACAGGATGTTCAAAAAGCAGATCGTGGACCTCTCTGAATGTTTGGTCTAGAATATAATCACATTTATTTTTGCCTTTACAGTTAATAGTTGATCATGTCCTTCTAATTCACTGATACTGAGGTATGCAAAGTCCTAGTTTGGTATAATACGTGCTTTCAGTGTGACCATTCACAACCTTTAAAGGAGAAAATTTAATCAGTTACCTCAAAAAATGTACGCTTGAGAAGCTGGAAGCTCTATTAGGAAAGAAACGGACAAACCTCACAGACATCATCTTTTGAAAAATGTCACAAAAAAGGGGAGAGAAATACATTTCCAAAGTCTAAACAGTCAGAATGAAAAGTAATCTTTGCATACCTGTTTACAAAAAAATGGGATTTATGGAGAATAAGAGATGAGTAAAAATATGAAAAATAAGCTCCCAAACACTGTCAACACTGTTGACATACTACATACTACATACTACATTACTACGACACTGGAAAACAACTTTTGTCAGGCATTTTCACTGCATGTTTGCTGATGCTGTTGTATACTACGTACTGTACTATATTCTGTGTTCTATCTGTTTTACATATTTCTTGAGAATGTACCCCTTTTGCTGCGATGTAATGTTCACTGCGACTTGCTAAATTAAATGCCAGGTGAAGGTTTTTTGACCGAAATGAAGCTGCACTAATAAATAATTTTACATTGACAATGGATTAAATTACTATGTGTAATGGGTAAAGGGTCACTGTAGCGACAAACCCACAGATAATTATTACCTGACTCTGTCGTTCCCCTCAG